CCAAACTCCCCATCAGGCTCCCCAGTCCAGGGTTCCACAACCAGGAAGAGAAGTTCCCCATAACTTCTGGCTCTGAACACCAGCAGAGATTGTGGCTAAGTGAGTTAGTGACTCCAGTGAATGCCCTGGAGTCACAGGCATTATTCTTAAAGGACCCAAACACAAACTTATTGCTGATGGATTCAATTGCTCTGAGCTCCAACAGTGCATTGGCAACTCGAAGGATGCCAGGAACATACAGGGAGGAATTGAATTGTCTGGCTTCAGGGAACGAGCTAGGGGGGAAACTTCTTTCCAGACAAAAGTACTGGCGGAAGCCATTGCTTCTTTGCTAAGTTCTTCTCATGTGGGTGCAGGTGGGCATCATATATGAATCTCCATCAATCTGGCTAACACTGCCCCCACCCTATTGATTCCCTTGGACTCACAGCACCCAACTTCTGCACCCACCCAAATCACTGCTGTGTATTGGAGAATCTTTTGATGACTACAGTGATGATGTATGTGGAACTGTTATTAATGTTAGAGCTAACAGTGATAAGACAGCAATATGGACTACTAAATGTGAAAACAGAGAAATTGTTATACATATAGGGAGGATATACAAGAAAGATGTGATTGGTTATCAGTCCCATGCAGACACAGCTACTAAGAGCGGCTCCACCACTAAAAATGGGTTTGTTGTTTAAGAAGATACCTTTTGAGTATTCTCATAAGAGACTACATCAAGCTATTGAGATTTGGGAGCTGAACCAAAACCTCTTCAAAAGCAGAAGGGACTGCATTTAAATTTGATTTCCATGTAAATGTTGCTAAGATATAAGAGAAGTCTCATTTGCCTTTGTCATACTCCATGTGGAGACAAAGCCCCGTCTTCACTCTGAGGCCCAAAGTCTGGCAGGAGACAGTCTTTAAAATAATAAGAAATGTAAAATTTCATCTTTGTCAAAAGCTATGAAGAAGATAAACATGGGAAGATAAAAGTCCTTAATAGGACACTTGACCAAATTATCTAGATAAAAAAGATTTTTTACTGAGAAAATGATATCTGATTTGAGACTTATAAATAAGACATTAATAATGAGAAGAAGAAAGAGATTATTCCATGAAGAGGAGTGAGAAATATACACAAGTTCTGCAAATATAGGAAGTTAAATGAAGCCCTTGCTGTTTTGGCTCAGTGGATAGAATATAGGCCTGCAGACTGAAGGCTCCCGGGTTTGATTCTGGTCAAGGACACATACCTTGGCTGCAGGCTCCATCCTCGATCCCTAGCCCTAATCTGGGTGCATGCAGGAGGCAACCAGTTGATGTGTATCTCATACTGTTATTAATGTTAGAGCTAACAGTGATAAGACAGCAATATGGACTACTAAATGTGAAAACAGAGAAATTGTTATACATATAGGGAGGATATACAAGAAAGATGTGATTGGTTATCAGTCCCATGCAGACACAGCTATTTTCTCTCTCTCTGTCTCTCTAGTGTCTCTCCTTTCCTTTCACTCTCTCTTTAAAAAAAAAATCAATGGAAAAATATCCTCAGTAAGGATTAACAAAACAAAACAAAAAAGCAGTAGCAGCAGCAGCTAAATGAAGATTTGTGGGTCCAGAGCATAAAATGAGGGAAAATCAGATTTATACCTATCATCATTTATAATGAGTATGTGTAGCAAGGAAGACGGAGTCCATCAATTTCAAATCTATGTTTTATTGTCCATGTAAAGGAGTGGACAGCACCACTCTTACAGCAATATTTTCTATTTGTTCCCATTGCCTACAACATAACGAGAATTTATTTTAAAAAGTAAAAGAGGGCCTCCATCTTATCTGTCTCCAATATCCTATCCTGCTCTTTTGTATTGACTGATGAAGTAGTCCAATAATACGTTTATCATGTGCCATTTTCCTTTAGCAGATGGCCACATAGTACACCGTACATTTTTACCATAACAGCTGCTTTTG